TATCCAATCAGTCTGACTCTAACTATATGATACGTGTAGTTTTTTCACTTTGAACAAGTCGGCAGAATTCTGCATAGAATGCCGAGACGGAAAGTGTGCAGGCCTCCCAGCACACGGTGTATCCCAGCGACGACGTCGTCAGTGGAAAACTCCCACGGTGGGCGGCGGCTAGTTCCAACCAGATCCCACTCTCTGACATCTCCAGTGTTTCATGATCATGATCATTCTGGGTCTTGGCAAATCATGGCCGAATAGTACGCCTGGCGATAGTGGCTGGTCCGGTAGAAGGGAGATGTGGTAGTGTCAACCGCACATCTCTTCGGCATGGTACTTTCTTTCAACACATTCAAAGGACTCTGCATCCTTCCGACTCCACAGGTTTGATATGATCTTGGGCACGTAAATACTCGGGTTTTATTGTCGGTGAAAAATTTATCACAGCACGTGGGGTATATATCGCTTCTGAAACCAGTCAGTCTGGTGGCGGAGGTCGCTAGCCACGTATGGCCGGGTTCTGCCCTTCCCTGGCACAAGTACATATTGAACAAGCGTAGACGTTCTCCGTGTATGAATTTTATGATGATATCATTATCTTTGCGTACTGCAGCAATATGAGATTGTTCGACGGGCCACATGCACCATATGATGGATCTTTCAGGGTGAAGGATGGCTTGGTCTCTAACATTCGGCAACATAGCTCTCATAGCAGGTGAATCTCGGATCAGGAAGACGAGTCGGGACGTCCATTGTCCATCGTTCTCTGGCAGCACTGTGCGATACTTGCTCTTGACAGTATATGCCGATGAGGAGTGTATATGACAACCACTGCACCAAAATATGAAATTGGTCTTTCACCGAGCTTGATATGACTAATTTCTTAATAGTAAAAAGTTTCTATAGCACGGGCGTGGAGCTCGGCTTGGGTGTGAGTGAGTGGAAGGGGGAAAGTCGACTTAGACGTCGGCGTGGTTTGGCTGATATACGTTGACTGCTAGGTGGTTGGGGAGACTCTGCGGGTCATTCTTTGTTCTGCTCAATGGGCATTGACAGCCACTGCCAAAGGATTGAATAGATGTTTGGTCGGGTTGATATGTCTGTTATCCTGCCATTTAATATTCCAGGTTGGTTGAATCAGTCATCATACTGTGTTGATAGTGATATGACTGGGATATTCACTGGAATACTTGGGAATAGAGAGACAAAGTCTTCCGTTGGGAGTTGTCATCAGGAGGAAGTAGTCTATTATCTTGCCAGTCTCTTTCTGGTAAATGGCTATTCGTGGATCATAGTGTTTATAGTATGTTGACTTCCTATACAGTTCATCTTAGCTGGTATTTTCAGCAAGACTGGTCGATGACTGAGTAAATAAGCATTAGAGTTGTCTATGGCTTAAGAATGCCAGGTGTCTGGGACGCACTTGGGGGTCCATTGCGTGATGTTGACCTACAGATAGTCTTTTCTACCAGTTTTCGGTAAGAACAAGTGCTTGCATGATAAAGAAAACAGGCGTGATTGATCAAGTGTTGGCTTGGCCATGTAAGCAGCCCCACGCGTCCATTATTCAAACATCATGCCTTTTTAATGATATCAAAACGGACGTCGACGCATCTCGAGTGCAAGTTTTCTTTGGTTTATCTGAACATCATTTCCATTTTGAATTCTTCGTGCTAATCTCATGTCAATTTATCCGCGTTCAAAGCAGGGATGATGGAAAAACTTCGGCATCAATTTAGCCTCAATCGCGTCTCCATACAGAACGGAGTCGGGCCCGATCCACACCAAATAGACATACCAAGAGCTGAGGAATAATTTGTTCCGACCAGGTGTGATTCAGTGCAGACAACTAGTGATGCAAATTCCCTGTCGAAATACATCTCAGGATCACACTCTCCTTCAATCTGGACTGCCCCTGGCTGGTTTCCGCCAACCACGACGGTGCCCGCTTTGCTTGGCCTTATTTGCTATCGATGTCTGGCGATCAATCCGTAACGTAACTATTCGGTAAGGTCGGGCCTGTCCCCATGACATTCAATGTGCCTGGACGGGCGACCGGGTGCCCTCGGTCAGGGTTTGCATATAACCGGTTGTTCGTTATTAAAAGATGAGGCCTATCGGTATTAAAATGCGAGGACCCCACATGCGTGATCCTTTAGAAGTCTCCCATCTGCCGCAGACTTCTAGAGCTAACCATGCATTTCTCCATCCAGACGGCAGCCTCTGTGCTAGCCACAGCAGGGCTCTCCCAAGCGCTCTCCACCTGGGACGCCGCCTACGGCAAAGCAGAGGAATCCCTCTCCAGCCTCTCGCAAGATGAGAAAGTCGGCATGGTTTCGGGAATGACCTGGATGGCTGGACCCTGCGTCGGCAACACCTACGCCCCAGAGTCCATTCCCTACCCCTCTCTCTGTCTGCAGGACGGGCCGTTGGGCATCCGCTTCGCAAACCCCGTCACTGCCTTTCCGGCGGGCATCAATGCCGGCACTACCTGGGATAGGAAGCTGATGCGTGCGCGTGGAGCTGCCATGGGAGCCGAGGCCAAGGGACTGGGTGTCCATGTTCAGTTGGGTCCGTCGACTGGTCCGCTGGGGAAGTTCGCCACGGGAGGGCGCAATTGGGAGGGTTTCGCGTCGGACCCTTATCTCAGCGGGGTGGGGATGAGCGAGACTATCGTGGGCATGCAGGACTCAGGAGTGCAGGCGTGTGCCAAGGTCAGTGAACTGAACCAACTGTAATAAAGACCTGATAAACTGACAAAAGCGTAGCACTACATCCTCAACGAGCAAGAACACGCCAGAGAAACAATGAGCGGCAACGCCGACGACCGCACCATGCACGAGCTCTACCTCTGGCCGTTCTACGATGCCGTCAAAGCCAACGTCGCCTCCGTGATGTGCTCGTACAACAAAATCAACGGTACGTGGGCGTGCGAGAACGACGGCATCCTCAACAAGCTGCTGAAAGAGGAGCTCGGGTTCCCCGGGTACGTCGTGAGCGACTGGAACGCGCAGCACAGCACCGTCGAGAGCGCCAACTTCGGCATGGACATGACCATGCCGGGGAGCGATCTCAATGAGCCCCCCGGCTCGGTCTACTGGGGCAAGAACCTGGCCGATGCGATCGCCGATGGATCCGTCCCGCAGGCTCGTCTCGATGACATGGTCACCCGCATTCTGGCCGCGTGGTATCTCGTCGAGCAGGACGGGGAGTACCCGCCTGTGGCGTTCAACTCCTGGGATGACGGTAAGGCCAACGTCGATGTCACGGCTGATCATGCCGAGGTGGCGCGTGCCGTCGCAAGGGACTCTATCGTGCTTTTGAAGAACGAGGACAGCGCCCTCCCTTTGAAGAGCCCTAAGTCGCTGGCGATCATCGGGTCGGGTGCGATTGTGAATCCTGACGGCCCCAACGCGTGCACCGATCGTGGGTGCAATGTGGGCACTCTGGCACAGGGATGGGGGAGCGGAACTGCCCAGTTTCCGGTATGGTTCTATGCTTATTTACGAGTCAATTGAGTCGAGTCTAACACGTGGATAGTACCTGATCGGCCCTCTAGACGGCATCAAAAACAGAGAGTCAAGCAACGCTACCGAGATCATCACCAGCACCACGGACGAAGTCACAGCCGGCGCAGAAGCAGCCGCAGCAGCCGAGACGGCCATCGTATTCATCTCCTCCGACTCAGGCGAGGGGTGCGTATACACCCTCCCACTTCCAAACACACAACTAACACAACCAGATACATAACCGTCGAAGACAACGAAGGCGACAAGAACGACCTGGACCCCTGGCACAACGGCAACGACCTCGTCAAAGCCGTCGCAGCCGCCAACAAAAAGACGATCGTCGTCGTGCACAGCACCGGCCCCGTCATTCTGGAGTCCGTCCTCGCTCAGCCTAACGTCGTCGCCGTCGTGTGGGCCGGTCTCCCCGGCCAGGAGAGCGGGAATGCCCTGGCTGATGTGCTCTACGGCGACGTTGCCCCTAGCGGGAAACTCCCCTACACGATTGCCAAGAAGGAATCAGACTATGGCACGGCGTGGATCGCTGGGGGCCAAGACGATGAGTACCCCGAGGGTCTCTTTATCGATTATCGTCATTTTGACCAGGATGAGATTGAACCGAGATATGAGTTTGGATTTGGATTGTGTAAGTTCTCCTCCATATATAGAAAGAGCCAACAGCGAGAGAAGGAAAACTGACACTATCATTCTAGCATACACAACCTTCGAATACGCCACCCTGGACATCGCCATCGACGCAACCCCCGGCCCCTCAACAGGCAAAGTCGAAGTAGGCGGCGCAGCCGACCTCTACTCCCCCGTCGGAACCATCACCGCAGCAATCACAAACGCCGGCGATGTGGAGGGTGCCGAAGTCGCCCAGCTGTACATTGGCTTACCGGACTCTGCGCCGGAGACTCCCCCGCGGCAGCTGCGGGGTTTCCAGAAGCTGCTTCTGCCCGCGGGGAAGAGCGACAGCGCGAGCTTTGAGCTCACCCGTCGTGATATCAGTTACTGGGATGTGGCAAGCCAGAAGTGGGTTGTGCCGGAGGGGGAGTTTAAGGTCTTTGTGGGATCGTCGAGTCGGGATGTGAGGCTTGACGGGACGTTTACGGTTGGTTGATTGGGTTGGCAGTTGAGTTGATTTGGGGATGGTGAGTAGGTCTATCTGTAACTTGACAGCATTGAATAAAGTAAAAGTATATGACCGTGTGGTCTTTGTTCAATCTTCTATATCCATAATCCAGGGCAATCATGTCTATAAAGATTTTCGACACACAAGTTAAAATAGACCAAGTAACAATGATAGATGTATATGATACAACGCTATAAGTCCACACGCTATACCTATACAAGCAACATAAATACTCCTAACTCTATGATTGCCAAAATCACCTATACAGAGTGGTGGTCAGCAACTAGGGTTAGATACACCCTATATCCCAGATAAAACATTTGCCAGACATAAATCGAAATAATTAGTCTCCCAGCAATTAATAAGCCCTTATGGGACAGTGGTAGTCCGCATCACTCGTACAAGATTCTTGTGTGTGACATGATGAAGTCCACGGTTCGATCCCGTGTGGGGGCATCGTCTTTTTTTTGTTCTTATTGCTCTCTAGCCTAGTCTTTCCTTTTTTTTCTATTTTGAGCTCATCAATTGGATGTGTTATCTATTTTTAATGATTTGGATTCGGGTTATGTCTAATGTGGATCTAACCTGTAGTTAATCCTGTTTGGGATGTTCGAATGCTGCGTAAATATATATACGTCGGTAGCTACCGTCTCCTCCTTTGCACCCTCCTTCAACCACGCAGACAACCGTCTCTACACGCCTCTTGCTTTGAAACTGTTAAAAGAGGTGTGACCAGCACCCCTAGGGGAGATACTATATCTCTTAATACCATAAGGGGACTTGTCATGCTACCAGGGGACTTGCTATACTACTCGAGGACCTACCATACTACTAGAAGACTTGCTATACTACCCAGGGACTAGTCATAATCTTGAGCACTGCCTGTATCCAGGAAATAATAAGTCATCACACGCTATCCTTAGTTACATATTTAGAACTCTTATATAAACTACTTCTTGCTAAATAGAACTCATACCTGGAAGAAATCTCATCCTGAGATACTAGATCTCATATATATATACTTACAGACTTGGCTAAATCTCTAGGATTTCGAATCAACTATATTCATTATATAGTTAGCGTAAACAGTGGAACACCATTCATAGAAGGGGACAGAAACGACGCCGTTTGGCCGGCTAATCCTCTACGTGTCGACGGCATGTCTCAACCAGGAGGTACAAAGATAGGCAGGGGGGTAGGATTTGTTGAATTCAAAACAAATCACTTGGTTTATTTCAATCAGCGATTCTTGTGGCTGTTGTACATGTCAGAACCATTCAGTTAAACATCGGCTATCCTTCTATCTGCAGCGGAATCCTATACTCGCTTTACTGAGTCAAAGTCTCGACCCTTATCCTTATTACTGGCCATGATGTTTAGAGTCTGTCTTATTGAGCATTCTCGGAGATATAAATCAGGGATACTTTGATTAATACATCTAGGTAGACTCTCTCAAAAATATCAAGATTATAGATACATATTCAAGACCTAAATCCTGTTAGGATAATGTTATTCCTCACATGAAACACATGTAATGCTAAAACTTTAGTTTAATCCAGCAGGGTATACCTTCTCTCAAAGTTGATTCTAGGCTTTGAAAGCTAAGATAGTCTTGAGAACACAATTTTAGCTCTGTGTAGAAAGATTTAAATAGTCTGTTACTATTGTTACTCTCTTACTCCTATATGATATCTTGAGAATATTATAAAATTATAATCACACTGCTAATGTAGACTAACCAGTCTTATCCAGGCTCTTCAGCTGTTAATATTTAAAAAACAACACTGACAATAGTAAGTAAATTAAGTATAATACAACTCTCCCCTCTCTATACATCAGTAGTTAAACCGCTGTAGATACATACAGCTCGTGCAGTATCTCAAGTTGCCTTAGTGGGAAAAAGGACAGAAACATCATATGCCAGAAACAATCAATTTCAATAGCTCCCAGACTATTAGCTTACGGAAAAGTGACAGATAATAAGATATATATAAGAATCAAGTGCATGGGAAGAAGACTGCAGGCCAGCAGGTCATTTAGCTGATTTCAGTTACTACTCATCTTTCGAATCAAAGACAATATATATATATATATGTTTTGCCGTGCTTTAGTTTAAGTAGGTTGCATGTGTGTATGGATCGATGCATATAAACTGAAGGCGTCTCGTTGAAATCCATGGACCTATATGCTTGGTATTCTGCGATGGTATATCATAGAATAGGAAAGGTGGATTGATTAATGTCTATCAAGTACATACAGCCGTCCGTGCATATTTGATTGACAGGGTGTGCATTGTCTATCTTCTATCATGGCCATTCATCAGAATGGAATACCCACACAGCGATTACTGACCTACTCTACCTAGGCACCGACGGAGTATACTCCTTGGCTGCTCCCAGGTCTACTAAGATAAAAGACATCGCAAGTACCAAAGAAAAACGGCTAGCCCACATGAATGCATCTCCTACAAGGCATCTACATGATGACAGGGGATTCAAATCAGAAAGGGAATAAAGTATGAGAATGCATTCATGTGTTGTAGGTAGGTAGGTAGTGGGTATCTGCAAATAAAAGAAAAGAGAAAGGAAATGGGGAGAGTAGGTATGGCCACCACAAAAATGGAATTGGGATTCGAAAGCTAAGATGAGTCCGCCTTCAACTCCAATGGATATTACTCCACCCGGTGTTGAATAATCCCAGGGTTTCCGCTTTTTTTTTTGTCCCCCAGCGTTGGTCATGAGGTCGTACGATTAGATCATAATGTAATTTAGATCTTGATGGCACCCTCGATGGCCTTGCGCTTCTTCTCCTGGCGGGCGACGGCCTTGGCGCCCATGATACCACCACCCCAGTGGCGGCGGGAGTCCTCGTACTTGTCGGTGTAACCCTCCTTGATGGCGGAGAGGAGCTTGGCGAACTCGGCCTTGTCCTCGGCGCGGGTCTCGGTCAGGGCCAGGACAGCGGAGGTCTATAATTCATTAGATGACATAACGATGTAGAGTGAACGTGGAGACATACCTTCTTGTGGACGACCGTACCCAGACGGGCCTTGCCCTTGACAATGGCATAGGGGACACCCATCTTGCGGCAGAGAGCGGGCAGGAAGACAACCAGCTCAATGGGGTCAACGTCGTGGGCGATGAGAACCAGAGAGGCCTTCTTGTTCTCAACGAGACCGACGACGTGGTTCAGACCGTACTTGACGTGGTAGGGCTTCTTGGAGACATCCTCCTTCTTCTTGCCCTCGGCGACGGCGGTGGCCTCGGCGTGCAGACGCTCCTTCTTCTCGGCCTTGGTCTCAGGGCGGTACTTGTTGAGGAGCTTGAAGGTCTGCGCGGCGGTGTTGCGGTCCAGAGTGCTCTGGAACTGCGCGATGGAAGGAGGAACCTTCAGGCGCATGTTCAGGATCTTCTTCTGGCGCTGCAGACGGACATACTCGGGCCACTTGACGAAACGGCCGAGGTTGCGCTTGGGCTGGATGTCCTGGCCAATGCCGAAGTTGCGGGAGCGGCGCTCGATAAGAGGGTTCTACCATGGGTTATTAGCATCTTCTTTTCTCCAACCCAAACCAAGACAGAAGAATAGAGGCTTACCTTGGGGCCCTTCTTGCTGGCACCAGCCTTACCCTGGGGGTAAGGCATGGGAGCAGTCTTCTTACCGGTCTTGGGGGGCTGTCATTGAGAAAAAGAAGATCAGCAAATCGGTTCCACCATGTGCTGCATCTTCCTTGAACTCTAAAGAGTGCAACAGGAGACCCAGTCGGCCGACCAGGTCCCCCGTGCCTCCAGCCAAATCATCGCAGGCGCTCGCATCCTTTTTACAGGAGTTGTGCGACCCACGGAATACGCTTCGACAACTTGCGAAAATGACGCTCGACGGTTTCTCGTCTCACGCCATATTCGCAGAGGTCACCGAAGGCTTTAAACCCTCTTCGCTCTCATCGAGATGAGGAGATTCGGACTGGAATTGAAAAGAGATCAAGAGATCAACTTAGATCATGGTTGTCATGAGCTTACCATTGTGTCGTCTGGAGGCGTCCGCGGTTTGTGGTGGTTGACGGGATTGACGGAAGGAGAAGAGAAGAAGATCAAAGGGAATTTAGATGGAGAGAAAAAAGAAGTCTGGCGGGTCGCTTCGTGTGCGCTAGTGCGGACTAACCTTCAGCCGAACCGGATCACCAGAGTCACGTGTATAGGGCTAGGGCATTATATCGATCTTGGCAGTCTTGGCATTCTCCCTACCATGATGCTCGACATTCAATTCTATTGGGCATGTATCAAGGACAGTCACATCGGCTAGTCAGATATCTAGCTATATGATCGAATTACAGGATGCTGAGTTAGAGAAAGGAAGAGGAAATACGTTAAATAAACAGGTCGATAGATACTCATTTTGCATGCAAGAACGCCCGCCCATCATAATATCACACACCTCGCTATGCATGTCCTTGCGATTTGAAAAAAAAAAAAAAAGAAAAGGAAAAATGAGAAAGTTGGTATGTAGGGGTATCGTGCATGTTTCATGACCGTGGAAAAGAAATCGACAAGAGGAAAAAGGTTGAGGGAGAGGAAAAGAGGGAGAAGAAGGTTGTTCAGGGGGGCAGTCCGACCAGTACACCGACGTCAAACGGCGGTCCAGAGCGATGGATTAAGCGTCAGAAAGGTCATCGTCTTCGTCTACATCGCTCACTTCTTGTCCCCATCGGTTGACAATCATCCGTCGACCGAGCTGATCGTCCGGGACCCCGTCGCGGGACGCGCCAAAGTCGAGGACCTGAGAAGGTTAGCGATCTGACGGTTCATCTGCTGGTATCAAGTGAGTTACTCACCTCGATGTACGTCAAACTGTCGCGCTGCACGGCCGCAACGCAGCGCCGATCGTTGAATCGGACCTGCCACACACCGCTGAGGTCCGTGAGGAGATCACGCACGCACTCCCCGGTGCGCACATCCCACATCTTGAGCGTCCGATCCGACCCCGAAATCACCTTCTGCCCATCGTGCTGGAAGCAGGTGATAGCACCCGTATGGGCACTCAACATGTTCCGACACTGTCCGTTCTCCGGATCCCAGATCCGCAGCGTGGAATCGGCGGCCGCCGAGACGAGCCGGTCGCACTTGAGGTCCAGGAGGCCGACCAGCGACGCGTGGCCTTCGAGGTTATAGAGCAGGGTCCCGCTGTCCAACGACCACACCTTGACCATGTTGTCCATGGACCCACTGATGCAGCGGTTCCGCTTGTGGTCCAGGACCACACTGTAGACCTTCAGGCTGTGACCCTCGAGGCGGTGCAGCGTCTCACCAGTGGAGATCTTCCAAACCCGCACGGTGCAGTCGTAGCTTCCGCTCACCAGCGTGTCGCCGTGGGCCGCAATGGCGCGGACGGAGTGATGGTGGCCCGTGAGGACGCGGACAAAGTACGGGCAGTCAGTATCGTCCACGTGCGGTCCGCTCTGG